AGGCGAATAACCACATATTACATTAATTATACAGTTTCGGTTTGACTTTAAGTCCAACACGAACAAATGAATACTTTTAAGTAATTTATTTTTTTCTAAAAATGTTGTACACATATTTGTTGATTAAGGCACAGAGAGTAATCTACTTCGGCCGAAATATTGGCAAATATTAACTAGGAGACTTTTGATTGTATTTGAATTTTTTTAGATTCATCAGAACGTCAGCAAGATGCATGTTCCAATGTATCTGTTTTTAAAAATCACCCTATCTATTATACGACATTCCCCTGTAATAGGTAAATAATAAATGTATAAACGTAGTTTAAATTGAATTACCAAGGCAGTCTTGACTAAAGTGTTGATTCAATTATTGCAATAAAGCTAATCAGGAACGATACATGTTCCCCCTTTCTAGAAGAAACAGCATAGAAACCCATAATTAAGGTGAAAAGTAAATGTATATGCTATCTAAAAAGTTTATAAAAGGTTTATGTTGTGATTAAATAGCATCAAGAAATTAAAACCAGAAATATGTTTTTCATAACAAATTTTAAAACAAAATGCATTTGTATTAATTGCTTTCCTATAAAAATAATCCGTGACATTACATATAGCAATGCATGGTGTGTATAAATAAGGAAATAGAAGCTTAAAAGTTTGTAAATTAATTCAACTCATGATATATTATTGCGAGAGTATCTCCTCTATGATTTTATTAACGCAATACATTAAACCCAGACTTCCTAATGCGTTTTTGGTTTATTACATTAAATTTTATTTAGTTTTATATTTTTCTATTTCTTATTCATACACATAGTTTTCTCTATCCAAGACAGGGAGCATTTCCCGTTTATTTAATTCGTAAACATTTCTTGCTAATTCTATTTCGGATTGCGGTTATCATGAGAATTTACTACAGAATGTGGTTTAACAGTACAAAATATGGAAAGCCTTGACTGTCTTATAATTATAAACCTAAACGTTGTTATGTCCATATAGCAATATATTGAGTCAACCTTTCCTTATACAATGTGCACTCATTAATATATTATGTGGACCCATCGTTATATGTAGTCAACTGAACAATATATGATGTCAACGTGTCTTTATATGATGTCAATCTATCATTATACGTTGTGCATTTTTGAATATATTATGTGGAGCCATCCTTATATAAGGTCAAAACAACAATATATGATGTCAATCTGTCCTTATATGATGTCAGTCTGTTATATATGATGTGAAGTTATGAATATTTTATGTTGAACTATTCTTATATAGAGTCAACATTATATGATGTCAACGCGTCCTTATATAATGTCATTCTCTCATTATACGATGTGCATTTTTGAGTATATTATGTGAAACCATCCTTATATAGAGTGAACTTAACAATATATGATGTCAACACGTCCTTATATGATGTCAATCTTTCATTATACGATGTACATTTTTCAATATATTATGTTAAACCATCCTTATATAGAGTCAACTTAACAATATATGATGTGAATATGTCCTTATATGATGTCAGTCTTTCATTATATGATGTGCAATTACAAATATATTAAGTAGAACCGTCTTTATATAGAGTCAACTTTACAATATATGATGTCAACACGTCCTTATATGATGCCAATCTTTCATTATACGATGTGCATTAATAAATATATTATGTGAAACCATCTTTATCTAGAGTCAACTTAACATTATATGATGTCAACACGTCCTTATATGATGTCAGTTTTTCATTATATGATGTGCAATTACGAATATATTATGTGGAACCATTCTTATATAGAGTCAAAACAACACTATAGTATGTAGAATTGTCTTTATATAGAGTCAGCTTAACACTATATGATTTAATTTACTTTGAGTTTTCCCGCTGTTGCCACGAACGGCGCATAGTAAGATATAACCCGGTAAATTTAACCCCATCAGTATAATGACAGAAGCACACCATATAATGATGATTGCACTTCATATAAAGCAGCGGTCGTATACTAATAGATGCACATCGTATAATGAAAGATTGACATAATATATTGATAAGTTGACTGTATATAATGATTCTACCACATCATATATTCATAAATGCACATCGTATAATGATTGGTCGACATCATTTAAAGACACATTGACATCATATATTGTTCAGTTGAATTCATATAAGGATGCATCCACATAATATATTTATGAGTGCACATCGTATAAAGAAAGAGTGACACAACAACGTTCATTTTTACAATCATAAGATAGTCAAGGCTTTCCATAACAAAATGTATTGGCTTGTCTTCTTGCCTCCCAATTCCTCACGCTAAATTTTAATTTATTGCATTCTTATTATAAAACTCTCTACATTTTGACTGACTGATATATTCTGTCGATTTTGGTGCAGACTTTTGTCTTTCAGTTTTCATTAGCACATATTTTCATAAATAAGCGATCTTTGAGAGTGTTTAAATGTTTTGTCAATTGTATAAACTAATATTAACCATTCGATCTATATTAAAGCAGCACCCCTCCAGATTCTATGATGATAATTTTCATGAAAATTTTGAAAATGTACTCACAAGTTAAAGATTGTGAAGAAATCAGAGAAAATAATTAACGCTATGCAAACCCCATTTCGATTCTGCTTATCAATTTATTACCAAAAAGGAGGTCAAAATATACACAAATAGCGCTTACTGCGTTAGTAACACAGTAAAAAATGGTGATAAATAATGCAGAATCACTCATTAATCGTACACAGCATGTAAATTATTACTAGATTTTTATTTTTTTTTACTTTCTCTTAATATTCAGATTTTCCTAAAGATATTGGCTCATCTAGAAGCATACACCTATAAGAAAATGAATCTTTAGTTTTAAGATTATAACAACAAATAAGAACGTTGATGGTTTTTCCATTACAAAATATCAATAGATTATTATATATGGATGTTAAAGGTAAGGGTGAGATACATGATCAAATTTAACATACAAAATTTTATCATTTTATAACAGTCAGATTATGGTTTTTTTTTCTTCTTTTTTATCAATTATAATTATTTGAAATACTTATAGAAAATGTACTCATTGTAGACCAATTCACTTTCAAAAGAAAACTATTGCATTATACCGTGTGAAATAAAAAATAGTTTTTAGTTAAGTTTGTTAATTACAGAGCAAAGGGTTGTGAAATATTTCTGGCACCATCTATCAGCAGCTTAAGAAGTATCCAAACACATTACCCACTATAAGTTATTGGACCAATGATGTCCATGCTAAAAATAGCATAATGAAAACTGTTTTGAATTTTATAAAATAATTTATTATATTTTTTATGATAACGGAAACATTTAAACGAAAGAAAATGGGAGTCCCCGATTTGGAGTTATCTGGCCTTCTTTACACCTTTAGCGAAAAATATTAAGTTCAGTGCACTGTAACTCATAAACCATACGGGCATTTTACAACAATATTGGATGTCGTAATGAACACTACCTGCCGAAGGAGACCTCCCATCCCCTTCCATACCAAAGTTCTTTAAAAGGGACGCACAAACAAACATTGTTACACTAGTTTTTTTATTAATCTCAACAAATATTTCATTTTTGGATATGCTTATACAAGGGTAAAATACTTTCATTGCAGCAATTTATTAAAGTCAGTGTTATTCTTACTGTACCATGTCTAATTAGAATAGACAAATGCAGTTAGTATGTTTGGGAAACTGCATTCCTCTATGCTCGCCAAGGTATTTAATCCTGGTAATAAATTATAAAAATACAAGTTTAGTTTTTAGTAACTTTAAGTAAACCTATTCATCTTGTGTGTAGAGTGTCTTCCCTGTGTGTATCAAAAGATGTTTAATTTACACTTTAAAAGATATTGTATAACAATTATTAATATTTTTAGATGTCCAGTTAAAATAACCTTACAATCAAAGTCAGAATAGTGTTTTCGTGCTGAATTTATTTAACGTGACATTGATATTTCAGCACTGTTAAAATCATTAGTGATAAAGTCACCAGCTGAACGAAAGAAAAGTAGTTCCATTTTAAAACAAGCAAGAAAGCTTTTACGTTACTAGCGGTTGTTAATTGCTTTTACGATTTTCCTAGTAAGTCAACGTGGAAATATTGTAGTATTTTATTGTTGTATTAAAAATTTACAGACATTCAGACATACAAATTATTTGATCCAGTATTCTCCTGTAAAAATGCATTGTGTTTCCGAAAGAACTTCCATAAAGACATAGCTTAGAAGATAGATGATATAGTTGTAAAAGCAATTTGTCTAACATAAATGTTATCTCAAAGATAATACACAGTTCGCGCTGAAGGTCTCCTAGCGTTTTAATCACCAATCAGTAAGCCGATGAACATTTTACGGACTGAAATTGCAGCTGAGACATTTTTATTTTTTGGGGGCTGATTAGGGGCGTATGGAGATAACTTTTTAGCTCGTTGAGGTCCAAATTACTTCCTGCATACTTGCAGTTCACCAAACTCTACACTGTTGACTGACCAACTTCAAATTTTTATTTCGATATAATACCCAAAAACTGATGATACAAATGGTAGCTGTACAAGTTTAGTAAACACTTTTAGTAGGTTAAGATGCCGTCTGGGTGCCCAGCTGATTTGGCTTGATTGTGTCGCGGGCTGCATTCAGTGAACGTCGCCTTGCCTTTTTTTATCTTTTCCCTAATTTTCTAAGAGTTTAACTTTATACGTCTGACTGAATGATAATATCTAATGGTATTAAATAGGATTATCATTAACTCGAAACCCATACATACATTTCTTGACAAAAGACCTTTCGTAAACACTTTTATTGAGGTAAATAAACATGTATAGAGAGACAAACTGTTTTTATTTTTACCAACTTGTTTGTATATATTCTTTTTATAATAAACAGAAAAAACATTTAAATTACTAGTATTGTGTTAAAAATGGATACCACATAGTAATACATATTCTCATTGTTGCCAATGGTTCCTTTTGGAATATGAACATTAAGATCAACATGCTCCGGGCGGAAGCCCTATCACGGATTTTCGTCATATTTCTTCAGCAAAAAAAAATAGGTCCTGCATCGCTTTATTTTAGGCAGTTGTAAATGAGAACTTGAAAGGACATACGTTAAATACCATAATTTCATAATGTTGGTAATTTAATAATGTTGGTTGCAATAAGGCGATTGAAAGACAACCTAGGGCGATCGATAGTTTGATTCTAACAGCCTTATGACATCATGCTGTAAAAATGGAAAAGAGGAGTTCCTGCGGAGCAATAACATGAACACTTCAGATTATGTTTGATAATGTAAAGTGCCACATCTCACACCCCATACCACCGAGAACTATTATATCTTCAATCTTCAAAACAATAAAGTATAAGAACTCATGATTTTAAATGATAAGAAAGAGGAAGACATTAACACTTTACCCGTCATAAGTCGACAAACGTGTTGTATGCATGGCAACTTGGACTATGAAATCAAAGTACTTTTATTGATGAAGATAAAATGCATAAACTGGGTATTAGAAACAATCTCTACGCTAATCTGAACAGGTCCTGCAAAGTCACCTAGGTTTTTTGATACTATGACATCCCAGAGATCTCCGCTTTTATGGGACTAAATAACATAAAATCCTTCCATATCGTTCGGAAATTAAGGAATAAAAAATGTAACAAGTAACTCCAGCAGTTTCTTTTTTAAGAAAGTATTACTCTCGTATGGCTATCTTTCTGATTGCCTCAAATCAACGGACAATATATTATTTTACAATCTGAAAAATTATGATAGCTCATTTCTTTATCGGCGACAGGAACGTGAACTGAACCAAATTAGGCAGAGACGTGACATTTCACCATCCTATCCTTCTAGAAAATATCAGGCAATTAGCTGACTCTAGACATTTATGATGTACAAATTATACACTCCTATAACATTGGCACGACCAGCTCAAATTATGTCATTAACAGAACCGGAAGCTGTGGTAAAGTATTGAACGGAACATGTTCTTATCCGGAATTCAAAATAAAATCATATATAGCTGGTTATTTCTAATTAAAAGTAAAATTAAATTTCGACCGAATAAAAGCATGGTATTCACCTTTTTAACTAATCAATTTTAATTGTTTTAAATACTTTTTAATAAAACCTGATTGCTCGACAAAGTTTTCCACAGAAGCTTGTCTTATTTTGTCAATTTCATTAGATGAAAATCACATTGGAATGTTTATCTTTCATGCTTGTCTTGCAGCAGTAAATTAGAAATATCAGCGTTTTATATACTTATTGAACAATTTAAACATTTGAGATCTTTGTGAAAGCTATTTTTGAGAAGTTTTGTTTGTATTCTCACGCCCCTCTTTACACGCGTGTACTTTTAACTGTAGCCGTCCTTTTAATACTTGGCCTGTTTCGACGGCGGCGTCTGAAGAGACGCTTAAGTTCAAATCGAAACCGTTTACCTGAAAGAACATAGATGAAGAAGTTAACAGCATAATTCATCAGTGAAATAGCTACGCCTACGTCTATATATGGCGTGAGTGTAAGGTACACATTGCGGGCTGTTGAAATATTGCTGAATTTTATTGATAAATCCACAATTAAAGTTAAAGAGAACACTGGTAACAGCGTAAGCATATAGGTGAATGTCAAAATTAGCAGCATCCTGGTACTGCGCGTCTTCTTTCTAGCACCACTGTTGTCTGCACGTGTTAGATATTCTTCCTCTCTATTCACATCTTTCTTTACTTTCAAAATTTGATAGATGACCATACTGTTGCAAACGCTAATCAAGACTACTGGAAAAACAAACACCAATGCCCACTGAAAGAAATAAATGTCGAGGCTTGTGTATAGTTCGATGAAGTCATGCCCTGCAAGGCAATCCCAAATCTCGAATTTCTGATCGTACAGGAGGTGCTCAATGATAATGAAACGGAATGATTGACTCAAAAGAACAATGCATAAAAGCACACATATTGCAATCAAAGCTCCATTCTGTTTCCTCAACACTGCGTTCTTAAACGGAAAACAAACGGCTATGAGTCTTTCTACGGCCATTAGTACAACCAACCAAGAACTCATTAAAGTTATCACATGAGCGATGTAGTTATACATTTTACAACTTAAGCTGTTAAAGTTTTGAAATACTCCAGGTTTTGCAGAATGGAATACATAATATTCGTCGATACTTTCGATCTGGCGGATGAGGAGTGAAAATGTGTCAAACACTGCCAGCGCACAGAGAAAATGCGAGTAACTCTTGTTACGCAATGAAGGCGCCTTCATTACCATCAGAGAGAGGCTGTTACCAATGATTCCCACGAGAACAATTAGCGGTGTTGATAAAAACTTTATCCAGAATCCCCAATCAGATATAATAGGAGTGGGTACATCTGAAAGAAACATGGTAAACGGAATGAATTTAGATTTAAAGAAACATGTATATTTTAATTTCATTCAATATTCAATCTAAAGCTTAATTTTTAGTTTTACTTTTTATAAACTTGAGAAGGCTTCCTTTTTATAACTATTTCACGATGTAAACATATCTTAGAGGGACTCCACTGAGGTTTTTTGATAAGATGGGACTGAAATTTTTTCTCCATATAAATGTACCATTTGATGAAGGTTTAGACCTGTCATCTTTGTGCAAATTTCAGATCATTCGCGCACTCCGTTTTTTCCAGAATAATTATCCACATTGTAAATAAATGACCCATTAAACGCTTTTCACTCAAATCGGACTAAGAAAAGCATATAAATACGATTTTCAATTATTTCAAAGTATATTTCTTAACTATCTTTGCATATATTTCTTGTCTAAAGTGCCCAAGCTCATTTATGTAAGAAATTCAAATGTTATGTTTTTAGGCTTTTAAACCTCAGTGGAGTCCCTTTAAATAGATTGTTTTTCTTTCAATCCGTAAAAAAAACATCATTTTAGGGGGAATTTCAAAATATCACAGACTGGATAGAAAATATAATAGACTATGATCCGACGGACAGAGCTGCAAGCTGAGCTTGTTAGCGGCTTGAACCATGGGTAGATTCAGTTGCTGACGGCAGACCTTGAACGCTGAGTACTTGTGCAAGTCTTTTTTTATATGTCTGACATATAACGGTAATTGAGACTATGTATGTTCCCAAAAAATGCATTTATGTTGCAAGGTTCATGTGTTATACGCAGTAGGTCTATACATTCATGAATGTAATTTGATAATTTCAGAACGTTAAATGATGCTTTTGTTGCAATGCATTGATTAAGACAACCTTTATGAGTGCACCAAAACTGAATGGGTACGATCAGCGACTGACCTTTAACTGATACGAGAAAACTGTCCCATGTAATAAGAAAGAAAATCCGTTTAAGGAATCAGACAACTTAATATATATTAGCCGATTTAGTTTCTACAAGCACGATAAGCTTTAACAAGCTTCTGTACGTACTGAATGATATTTTGTTCCGAGACCGTTCGGTTAATTTTAGGATAAATCTTAAGCATACTTTAAATGTAACCTACTAAAATGGCTTGGAGGAAAAACTACTGTGTCTCGTTCCCGCCAGGTACCTCTTCGACCTTATATGAACGCAAAGATACGGCAATTTCACATCATTGCCCTTCGGATATACATGTATCAATCAAGCATATTTAAATCTTTGTACTTATGCAATTCCAAACTGCGAAATCTGTGCATCCTCGATCTGATTTTAAAATCATAAGTATCCTAACTGATGCTCCAGCACCTTTCATCAGGAAAGTTAACGGATTAAAAATCGGTGATCTGATTTAAATGAGATTGGCACTTTCTTAATTTTAAATCCTCTACAAAGGCCAAGTTTATAATTTCCCGGAAAGACGGACCGCACAAAATAGCCCAATTTTACTGCCATTTTTTCCACATTGTCCAAGAGATTTGTCAGCTGCTCAAATTTACAGTTGCTTTCAATTCAATGAATTGGGCCAAGCAACAATTTCTTGTTTAATATCAATTTATATAATTCATTAATATTATTTTCATTTAATATTAGTGAATGTTAACAATTAACGAATATTTATCAGGTTCATTTAGGTAAATCACTTTTTAATTAACCAACTGCATTTTCAAGTACCTTTCAAGAATGATGAATTGGATTTATTTGAGCATGAGATGTAGCTATAATTTTGACACTTCATTTCACCTTGATCCACAGGAAGGTTCATTATGCAACACTTCAGCGTATCTGAAAAGGAAGAAAATCTTGTTTGGTGAATAGTGCCGAACCATATATTCAAAAGTAAAGGATTATACATAACATTATAAGTCTGTTCGAATTTTTAAATTTAAATAACATATTTTATTTTTTACATTTCGACGAAACTCTAAAAAATCGTTCAGATAAGTAAAAATCAAACAAACGATTTTTTATTGTGATACTAAGCTTATCACCACCATAACTATCAGTTTTAACTCCACAAATATACATGTTTATTGTCATTTAACATGGCGCCATTCCAAATGGGCAAATAATTCTAAATATTATGCCCCTGTTAGAGTGTAACCTTGGTTCCCTTTAGTTTAGGTCTATTTTCTCAGAATCTATCAAAGTAGTTCACCTCAAACTTGATTTACATATACATGTACACTACCAAAATATGACACAACTGCTGAAGGACATATAATCCTTAAATTCATTAAATTTTTCCCCTTTTTCTACTTTCTTACTTCTACTTTCTAATAAAGTACTGTCTTAAGTTTACCACTTCAAACTTGATATTCTTGTTCAATAATTAAATAAAGGACAGTTAACATTATGAATTATTTCTTGTTTTGGTATTGCCCCTCGTTTTGTCATTGATATTTTTTTCGAAAAGATTTTCGTTTTCATTTCTGAAAACTACCAAAGATATACACTTTAAACTTGAAATACGTGTTCACTATTAAATTTGAAATAAAATCCTTGCTTTTTCTCAAATTAGGTCATAAGTATTCACTGCATACTTGAAATGTACCTTTACTATTAAATACTATTAAATACAGGTAAGTCCTCCAAGCACATTTGCAGAATTAAACCCCCTTTTATGTTGCTTTTATTTACTATTAAGCATTGAAAGAAAAGCGGAGCACATATCTTGTTTATTATTATAAGGATATGATTATTAAAAAAGAAGATCAATAAGTAGAAAAAGAAAGAGGAGTTGAAGTTAAAGTAGCAGCAGCAGTTGCCAGTGGTTTCATTATCTACATCATCATTGGCATCTTCAGAGTCATCAGTATCAAGATAATTATTATTCATGCACAATTTTCAAACTACTATATATAATATAAAATATATATAACAAACTATTCCATAATGCCAACAATGTGTCATATTTTAATACAGCTACAATGAAATCTATAAAATAAGCTCTAAGCAAGAAATAGATTTAATCTGATTGTCACTTTGCCTTTGGCTGGAAGAAATTATTATTTTTATCACAATCGTCTCAGTCTGCATAAAACACTATTAAGACTAATACATTTAAGTAAACATTTTTTTTTTAATTTCTAAGAAGAATCCAAATAAGATGAATCCAAAGACAATGTGGAGTCATGAATCCAAACACAATGTGCTATCATATATTTCTTGAAACATTTTGTTTAGTGTTTGAAATTGTTTTTGTCCAATAGAATTGCAGTATTTCAAATGAAACTTATCATATTTACTTTGGTAAATCGGCTAAATTAAATAAATCTAGTCAATCGACCGATTCATAAAAATAATTTGAAACTGCGCCGTTCTTACATGACACTGGTCTTCTACATAGAATGGTACAACACAACAATCGAAAACAAAAATTCAAGTCCCATAAATCAAAAAATAATTAATTAATAAAATATAAATCAATCAAATATTTAAATAAATGAATTAACGAATAAAATATGAATAAAACAATAAATTAGCCTCTTCGTCAAACTTGAATAATTGTATAGGAAATTATAGCAAATAAGAAATTAATATTTTACCTTATCAAATGAAATGCAACAACTATAACTATTTCAATTTGATGCAAATTTACCTCGTTAATTCTGATGGCAATGTGTAAATACGTCCATAAGTTTTCAACTTTCTTAAATACACAAGTCTGTCTTATTATATATACAATGTATTTATAAACATAACTTTCTATATTCAGAATTTAAACAGCTATCTGATTTTGTGTTGCTACAATAGTTCAGCACCACACAATGAAATGTCTTGCCCAATATAGTTAATTGAAATCTCAATAAACTGAACGACAAACAGCAGTTAAGATTTGAGCGTTGTACACGCCAGGCAATTTTAATAATAGCTTATTTTGTTCATTAGCAATTAATTAAAGAAGATATCAACTTAGCAATATATAAGAAAGAGTGATCATTTCGAAATCTTAAGTATTAAAGTTACTGTGATTCAAAATAAATAAATAAATAATCGCGAGGCATTAAATTCGTTAATGTTAAATGTTATGACTGTTGTCTGGTGTTCAAACGAATCAATGCATCTCTTTCCAAAAAGTAAGCTGTAAATATAAACAGTTTAGAATATGAGTTCAAATTTAAAAGAAAAATAATGTAAATTAATTTAATGCTTACTGAAAAAGTTATATTAACGGAACTATGTTTTAAAGCTTGAATCTTAAATCTCTTTTTAATATTAATCAATATGTTCATATCAAATTTATGATTGATTTTGATGTCACAACTCAATGTGGTTTTCTGTACAACTGAATTTATGTTAATTTAAAAACACACACTTATTACTTAATAATTATACAACATCATAATAATACAAAATAATACCTGATTAACATGTAATAATAAATATTTATATACCATGTTAAGTGACGTCAATTCGCGAGCAGATTCGAAGTATCGGGTATCAAAAAATTGAGGTTTTTTTGAAAATCTAATTACACCAGTCCTATTTATGGTGCATAATAAATAGTTATATACCATTATCAATGATGTCAATAATATTTACGAGCAGGTTTGAACAATTATGGGTATCAAAAACTTGATGTTTTGTGAAAATCTAATTAAACAAGTCCTTTTCATGATGAAAATAGTGGTGAAAAAGTTTGAATTGAAATAGAAATATCTTATTACTCTTTGTAAACACGTATAAATTTATCGTTACATTGGTAAATAAACATAACAAATTTACATGGCTGTATGTCATATATCTGACACAAATTCCATACAATTTTAGTGAGCGGCAATTTTTGATAAAGTGATTCCCATCAAGCGATACTTGTTAGTAATAAATCACCTTACAAAATTCATATGTACATCACAAACTTATCACAAAATAATTATAGAAATAAAATAATGACTTATGTGTCTATATAACACAATAGATTGTAATCTTGATAATTATTAAAGTATTTATTTTAAATTTATCAAATCTGATGTCAACAACATGTGTTTTTATCATATAAAGTAACACCAGTCGCAGTTCTTCTGAAGTCGTTATGCAACAAATATCTCCGTTAAATCCTCCGCTGTAGTTATTGATAATTCTTATGATCGCCCATATACACACAAACGTAATAATTTATAATTATAGTAAATCATGATGGTAATTGAAATAATGTGAAAGTTTGAATATAAAATGATTCTAATAACAAATTACACATACAACGCTACTTCTAAATAAGTGTTCTAGAATTACTGCCATAATTGTTTCCTTATACATATAGTACTGGAATAACAATAACGAATTTTTGTTGTATGTGTACATAAATAATACTAGTCTAAAACTTAAAGCTTTTACCATAAAAAAATCAACCGAGCAGATATTTCAAATTCTTTGTTTAGTGTTTATCACGCCGACACAGTTAAAATTCATATGGCGACTTTTAAGCTTTCCTGGAGTAGGAGGACTTCCAATGTTCCTTCTGGCATTATTGTTTTACGCTCGAGCTGACATGCTGGCATTTGAGTAGAACCATCCACAGTCCGTAAGTGTAATCATCCAGCTGGATAGCTTCCTCATGTGAAATAATTGATAGTCTTTGACAGGATTTGAACCCCCATAGCGTTGAGAGGACTAACTGTTCAAACAATACATTAAACTAAAGGAAAACAATTGCGTCTGGATATAAGCCTGCTTATGAAAGAACCTTCTCAGTTGCTACACGTAATACGATAAAGATGCGAAAGACTTTTTTATATGCTCCTTTTTTTCTTATAATAATTCCCAGTTCTTTTGTTAGTCTATAAATTATATATAAATATCACATCATGATTTTTTGTTGCTAAGAAATCATTTAAAACATAATTACGTAGTATTAATTTGTAATCCGTCAGGAAAAGTTTAAACATTCCATTTCTTGGTATATCTTTTTTTTTCAAGGTATTTATTTCATTTTTCAAGTACAAGACGCAAATATCAAAATCTGTTAATGAGTGAATTATTGAAAGTTTAAACATTCCATTTCTTGGTATATCTTTTTTTTCAAGGTATTTATTTCTTTTTTTCAAGTACAAGACGCAAATATCAAAATCTGTTAATGAGTAAATTATTAAGAACAAAATTACATGCATCTAACATCAAGAGAATAAGCGCTGGATAAAAATACTGACTAGCGAAACAAATGTTTCCGTCTTACAGGACAAATCTTTAACTATGAAAGTTACCAGACTTGCAAAAAGGCCACTGCATAATCCTAAATGTTCTAAAAGAAACACAAAAGCGGCTAGAACAAGAGGCGATGCATCGACCTAAAGCATGTATTTTCCCATTATTTCTCTATATCCTTCTAGGTTATAAAAAATATATCGAAATGTATCAATTCAAAATTGAAAAAAATAAAATACTGTATATCAATCGGTAAATAACATTTTTTTAAGACATAATTATAAATACAATACCTTTTTAACACCTATTCCAATATTTCTTAAATTAACTCGAATAATTGAACATTATATATTTATAACTCTTTTTCAAAGAGTTTTTCTGTGACTGAAAGTATTCATCAATGTCACTGTATGTTATTGGTAAAACAATATGAAACGGAGTTTGCAAATCATTTTCACTGTGCGCTGTTTAACACTGGCAAAAATCAGATAAACGCAGTTCTGCTCTTGTTTTCTGAGATATGATTGCCCTGTCACATTGATGTTTATTGAAACTGAAGTTAAACCTGTTTTAATCCCTGCAAGAAGAAAAACAAGCATGTTCAACAAGTCATATATATGAAAGAAAATTAAGACATATGGAGAAATAAATAATAATATCGCGTATCGCTCATTTCTATTGTTGGACTTATTATAAAATGGAAAATATATTGTTAACATACGAAATGTAGATACATTTATCAAAGATTTTGTTTCTAATTGAGGAACGAAGAGTTATCTTAGTTATTCTCATCTTTCTTACGTTTAAATGAAAACAATAAACAGATAATTGCATTCTATTTAGAACAAAATGATTTAAAAAAATACTTTTTTTGTTGTATTGTTTGACTTTTCCATTCTCCAACAGATCAAAAGTTCATACTTTTTTATGTTAAAAGGCACATGTACCCACACAATACCACACAAAGCTATGTAGCGTTGTGTTTCAATTACTAATAAGGTTTTGACATTTATAACAAACTTATCACAAATTATTTAATTGCTGTTTCTGCAATATATTTATGCCAGCAAAGAAAATGATATCAACTGATAAAATCAGAAAATCATTTATTGATTAAAGAAATTTTCAAGTTTATTTAAGGCATTTGGTTAATGGGGCGTACGTGGTCGAGTGGTTAAGGTCGTTTACTTCAAACCACTTGCCCCTCACCGCTGTGGGTTCGAATCCCGACATGAACTTTCGATTCTTTCATGTGAGGAAGCTATAAAGTTAGTTTACGGAACGTCGGTGGTTCTGCTCAGGTACCCGTTCATGCCTGAAATAATGCTAGGAAGGGCACCTGAGATCTTACTCCGCCAGTAAAGCTTGAACGTCGCTATATGACCTTTACTGTGTCGGCGTGATGGTAAAACGCAAACACACACACGCATTTGGTTTATCATAAATCAATGATATACTGACATGCAGGTAATATTTGCCCATTTACATCATTTATTTCTAGAGTCAACACTGAATCCACTAATCCAAAACCTTTGTGTAAATTAAATAGATTTGCCCTCCATTGAACTTGAAACAGTCCAATCAAACCGCAAAAGATTTAGTACTTAATAGCAAAAAAAGTGAGCTATAAATCAGTAAAGAGTCAGGTAAAAATACACAGGAAATTATTAGAAGAATCTTGATGATTTTGCTGTATCTAAGATAGATGTAAACTGTAGATAAATCACACTGCAAGGGGAGAGAGTTTGCAATTGCAAACAGCTTGTGCTAGGCCAGACACTTGTTAGCAATCAAGCTGTTTAATACTCAGCCTTTATCTTTGTTAATCTTAAAACCGTTCAAAAAAGCAGACGAAGTTTAAGCAGACGACCAGGCATGCACAGAGTGATACTAACATTGCAAGGGATAAGAAAAGACACGGCATATCAAGTATTAGCATATAACAGTATAGTTGCATGTATATACAATGTATAAAGTAATGGGAATCAGCAATCTTGATTTTTGTTTTCAGCTAAACCGTGAATTACACGAACTTTTACAGTTATTTACCTCGCCCCCAAACATTTTCTTATGTAGTTAATATATGATGACTGGAAAAGCCGTTGACCGGACACTAAAAGCCCAAAGATAATTATTGCCTGTAAGTGTGACATTGAACTTGGAAGTACGGTCCAGGTGATGCTTAAAAAGACTGCTTCATTAGGGTTAACATTTGTTACCGGTTATTATCCCTTGATACTTGAACCGGGTACAAAATGCACTCCATCAGAAAACATCGACTTTTGACATCCAAATGTGAACTTGGTCTTGGAGGTATGGGGCCTGTGTTTCGCATCACATATCGTCATACTATGGTTTATATGTGTGCAAAGTTATTTTAAACTTCCTTCTTGGATGAAAACGTTATGAATGGGACACAAAAAATATGATCCATCAGACAAAGTTGACCTTTGACATCAAAGTTTGGCAATGACCTTGGAGGCAGGGGTCAGGGTGTTGCGCGTTGTCTTACACTTTGTCTTATTATGGTGAACATGTGTGCATAGTAAATTTAAAATCCTTTAATGTAATGTTAAGTTTTAAACCGGCACGACGTGTGACGTACGGACGGACCGTGTCCATTACTATATCCCACTTTTTCTGAACGCGGGGGTCAAAAGAGATATAAACAAACATAAGACCAAATCATGGCATGTAATTGAATTTATAAGAAAAAAAATTCCTGTTAAAACATATATATTCCCTTAAATATTATTTTACTGATAGAAATAAAATAAAAAGTAATGGTCATAACAACGATAAAAAAAACTCAGCCAATGTTTTAGATGCCGGTAGTGTTGGTGGTGATCACTATGATGGTGAACACGACGATGAAATGGGAGGAAGAATAAAATAAAATAGTAATAAAAGGAATGTTTGTTGGGTAAACGACTTTTATGATTTTGTAGAGAAGAGCTAGAATGAAAATGAGGAGAAGACGCAAAATAATGAAAATAAGACAATGATGATGATGACGATGACACTGATGACGAGAACGATGATCATGACGAGGAGAAGGAGAAAATACAGAAACTTAGAAAAGGGAAGTAAAAAGAATGATGATTGTGATTATTTTCTTCTACATTCGATAATTAAAATATGAATTATTTCATATGCCTACGTATAACTTCGGTACATGCTGTTTGTTAAAATAATATGTATTGTTTATTCTGTAAACTTTTACAAGTACAATTAAACATCTACTGTATGATCATTCACACCACCTGAACTCAAATTTAGACTCAAAGTATCTATTAATTCGTTGGAAGTCACTACCAGCCAATATGATCAGCATATTTGTAGAGCAACAACAGTCGTAAAGCTTCGTCACTTACGGCGATGGTGTTATCATTATTCCCCTCTTTCCTTCTTTATTATTGATTTTGATAATGCATTTGTCCGTCACGGAATTGACAATCCTCCGGGCAGAATATAATCAAACTCTTCAAAATAAGTCTGCTTATATCGTTCATATCTTTCTCAAAGTTTTCAGATCATTTGCCTATCAAATACTTTTAAGCTATCTGTTTGAATCATTTGCCTATCAAATACCTTTAAGCTATCTGTTTGTATAAGAAAAGCTTCGTGATAAATATCCTTTTCAAAACGTTTTGGCACGTCGGTGCTGGGTTGTGAACGGTTACATGCAAATGATCATCACAATAATTACAGTGCCGTCTATGAACAGGCTAAATCCAAATGAGCCTGGAACCTTTTTATTTTACCGTTTTATGCGTTCTTTAGGGATTCTTTCTATTTAAAGCAGCACACCTCCAGATTCATGCTAATTTTCATTAAAATTTGACAATGTATTTAACAGCATGATATTGTAAAGTTACCAAAAGAATGCAATTAACACATTATCAATGACACTTACAACCTATGTTAACTACTATAAATAGGTCAAAATAGGCAATAATAGCCCTTACTGCGTTAGTAACGCAGTAGAAATATAGTTATAAACACTGAAAAATCCGGTAATTAATCTCACATAACATGTAAATTTTTACTTGAATTTTGAATCTTTATACCTTTCCTACAATCGTAGTACATCTTTGTCAGATTTGATTTTATCGAAATATTTTTGCTCATCTGGAGGCGTGCAGCTTTAAATTTAATTAACAGAAACCCGATCAGAGGTACTGGCCTCCTGTCAATAATAATGGATACAAATCAGTAATACAGTTAATGCATACAAATCATATTGAGAAGGAATTATGAATGGATTTCCTTAGGCGTTAAGATTCGTTTTCAGCTTTATGAGATTGATGTCACTGTTTAAACTAAAAACAATGAGAACAAAAATCAACAAGGCAAGGCTACTCAAAGCTAAGCTCGATGCCATACCAATGGTCCTTTGTGACTGAGTACAGTTGGTGTAGCATTTTAGTGGTTATCGCTCTTCCTTGTAGATTTTCATTTCATATTTAAACAAAATCTGGCTACGTGTTCATTTTCCAATTTTCAATGTTCTTTTGTCCGAAAGTGTTCAAGTAAAGTAAGTGTGTTTGTAATGATGACTGGGTTTCTTTTTTCTTGTTCACAATGAGTGTTTCATGTCTTTATTCTTATTTGCATAAATGTGCGTGTATTTACTATTTTTGAAAAACAAGCACTTGACCCAATGTTTCTTTTATTATGTAATCGTTCTTTGAGTTAGAAAAATTATATTCAGATGCTCGTAGTCAATTGATTTTTTCTGGGGTTTAACACTGATACGAAATAGACTTTTCAAGTTTGCCGTTTTGAGCGATCCTTTAGGATCTGCTATCCGAAAGTAAGTAGTTGAGAATAACAGAAGGTAGCTGTTGCGAGTTTTTGAAATTGATATTTGCAGTTTTCAGCGTTCTATTGATAATCCGAATGTAAGTAGTGGAGAATAAAGGGAGGTAGCTGCTGCGAGGAGTTTTTAAAATTGTTTTCTAAGAAAATCGATATTGTCTCCCTTGTTGTACAATTTAATTACAGTTAATAACGAAACGTAATTTATTCTTAAAATGAAATAAGTGCAAATTGTGAAAAAATATTATCTTTTTCCCATTTAGTTAATATTCAAACAAAAATTAATATGAAAACAATTTAAACCAATCACCAATTCATATTAAATATTTGGAATCAAGGCACATAGGTGAATTCTAATCATGAAAAATTTTGGCATTTGAATAACTGTAGAAATCGTATAAAAGACTATATTTTAGGCATTTATTGTAAAGCTTTGTGCCAGACAGTTTCCGCCATCATTTAATTTTGCCCAAGTAGGCGTCAACTTCTCAATTCAAATCACTTAAATTAATAGAAACTTCCACTATATTTTCTATTTTAAATTATACTGCAAATCCTTGAATTATATAGCTTGCAATTCATTGATGAGTAGACACCTTCATACACCTTATAGAAAAGTGTGTATAAAAAAA